CCATCAAGATTCAATTTTTTCGAGGTCGGAAGGTGATATTCGTGATCAGCATGACCTGGTGAATCAGAATATGTATAATAAAGCCAAAAATAAATTTCACTGTCAGTTTGCTTTCCGTGCACCTTACCAACTTCATTCCGCAAGCGAAGTAGTAGACTCAGGTACACTCATTCACTAGGACTAATTGCATGAATAAGTTTGTCTTTTTACTGTTTACGTTATTATTCTTTCGATGATTTATTATGTCAATTGGATCGATCAAAATATATTTTTAAATGTTTATATCATTCTCATGAACGTGAATATAATATTAAAATATTCTGAACGGAGAAAACGTTGGTAGACAATATATTATAGCAAAGAGAAAAAAGATCAGAAACACCATCAGATCGGCAATAAATTGAAGATTAGAGGATTGAGACGGTTTTTACGTGTGAAGAAAAATAAAGTTCAAGTTTATTTAGTTAGAGTCGTAGAAAAGTGCTTTTTTGTATTTAGCACACTCGGGGGTCGTATCTTGAAAACACTTAAGTCTAAGTTTAAGATCGACTTAAGTCCGGGGACTTAAATCTTATTACGAAAAGACTTAAGTTGGTGTTTTGTTTACATTTTAAAAGTCGTTGACAACAGTGACAAACTTGAAACAAAAACCCGCTAAATAACGAAATATTTATTCTCTGATCCTTAGAATGTCGTTTTCGTCGAATTGTATCGTTAAATGCCTGAGCTATTCGAAAAATGCGTCGTTCAACTTAAGTTTCGGTCTTAATTTTAAGACTACATTTCCCATGCCTTAAGTTTTTTTATAGTACGGTAAAACTTAAGTTAGTGACAGAGACTTAAGTCTTTTTTGTGATATGGCCCTCAGTAGGTTTTCTATTCTTGGCGAGAGGCGTGAGTGTCAGGACTCCACACTTCCTAATCTGGCGGTTATCCAGCGCTAGGGTGGTTCGTGTGTAAGGGAGCTCTTACCAATCATGTTCATGTTCAAATAATTCTTGTTATTTAGTTGCTCTCTTTCTATTTTATTTTTAAAAGAAAGATTTCGCTTTAGAAAAAAAATGATGTTTAAACAAACATAAAAATGACAAAAACTGATCTTCTGCAATCAAGTAGATCACAAACCAACTTGACTATTTCCACAGCAATAGCTCGATATAGTTCGACTTCAAGTTACTTTAATGTTGAAATAGAATATTAAACCTGTACTGGTGCTAGCTGAAATTGATAGATGAAGTTTCTGGTGTTCAATTATTTCAATAAGAGATTCATGATGATAGTGACTTTGACTCCAAATTCATTTGTAACGGCATCGGGACCGTTACAATGGGTACTGGCAAAAATTTACGAAAGATTTTGAATCTAATATTATTTTCTCATGAAAAGTTGTTTTGGGCATTTTGTTTGTAAATTTATCCTAAACTTTTAACGGCATCCCTTGTCAAAAGTAAAAAACCTACTGTATTATCGAGTGTGCTGAATACGAAAAAGCTCTTTTCCACGATTCTAAATGAACTTTATGTTCTTCACGGTGATATCTGATGATTTATATTTATATGATCAATATCACAAATGACTTACTAACAAAACTGTTTTACTAATTTATCAGCATTGAAACGATCAGTTAAAGCATCATCGAAACATACGTTTCCCTTGAAACTTTTAAATATAGATGTTATGATTTGGTGACATATATATTGCGTAATACACATACAATATGTATAGAAAAAACTTTTAAATAAAATATGATGAGAATTCTCATCTGGTATATACTATCAGTGAACTACTGAAAGAGAGATAAATGGCGAATATAAGCTTCTTAAAGGAAATAAAATTAAAAAGTTGGATACAAACAACTATTTAGCGACATCTACTTGGCTGCTGATTTGTTTTTCGCTATCTCTATAGGCAAATACTTGGAGTCCACCTTCTATCAACCTAAACCGCGATCGTAGACGAATTTCCATCGATTCTATGAACAGAACACAAACAAAATAATAATTTTATCAAAATAATTTTAATGAAGTGATTTTTTTTCGAGATATCATCACTTTCGTATTGAATATTAGAGCACATTTTCTGAACTCTCAATACTAGCTCTGGGAGACTAAAACTATTGTCCTATTCTACTCAAATAGGTAACTAAAATTCTCATTTAAAACCTCCGCTTCTTCTTTATGTTTACACCATTACTCTTTTCTTAGATAAAGAAACGTTTTTCAATTATGTATGTTCCAATACCTTCTCCACCAATCTTATCTGGACAAATACCCTCAACTGCCGATAATTCTGTTAAATCTGTATTTGATCGGTAAGACTGTTTATTCTTGTTCTCGTTTGAATATCTATCTCTCTTCTTTTTTAGCTATAGTGCAGCAGCAAAACGTTATAAATATTTGAGGCGTTTATTAAAGTTTCATCAAATGGATTTTGAATTTGCTCTATGGCAAATGTTGAATTTATTCATAGCACCACAAAAGGTATTTCGTGCTTTCCAATATAGAAAACGTAAGTCTATTTGGTTTTAACATGTCTTAGAAAATGAATTCAATCTCATTTTTAGAAACAAAGAATCAATGGGCTCGAGATGATCCGGCATTTTTAGTTTTATTACAAATATTTCTTGTCGGTAGGGAGGCATTTTTTAAATCAGAAATCAAATGTGTAACTTTTTCTTCAGTATTTTATGTATTGATTTTTAGTTTCATCAATTATAATTGGACTCGTACTTGGTATAGGATATTTTGGAATTGTTAAACTTGTTTTATGGGTTGTTCTTGTCGATTGTGTACTAGTGGGTCTATTGATTTCTACGATTTATTGGTAAGTTTCATATGTGAGGTGATTGTTGAGGAAAGGGAGTCGAATGGTTGATATTCAGTGTATCAAAATATCGTTTCTTCAATATTGTCACCCTAAACTGGATACCTATTTTAATAACTATACACGGTTGGAAATAATATTTTTCCAGGGGAGTAGAGCTGAAACTACAAATGATATAAAAATTTATTATATACCAAATTAATGTTCATCTAAAATGGAATTGATGTGTACGACTGATATTCTGTATGACGATTATTGGCTGTAGAACTATGGAAGTTTCTATCGAGTGCGTCATAATGA